GAGAATCTTCGAATTACCGAGGCGGTTATTCACATGGATTTTAGTGAAAACTACAACATGAAATATACAGAAGAGATACAAGCATTTCACTTCGGAGGATCGAGAAAACAGATATCTCTACATACTGTTGTTGTATATACCAAACAAGATGAGGTACAGCAACAGTGCTTTTGCACTTTATCAGAATCGCTTCTACATAATGTCCCGGCCATTTGGACGCATTTAGACCCAATAATAAAGTGCATAACAAACTCTTACCCAACAGTTGATACGCTTCACTTTATTAGTGACTCACCGTCGACTCAATACCGTAATAAAACCATGTTTTATTTCCTAGCAAGCGAGTTGCCAAAATTGCACCCAAAAATAAAAAAATTTACTTGGAACTATTTAAACGCTGGTCACGGAAAGGGGGCACCTGACCTGATAGGAGGAGTTACTAAAAGGACGTTGGATAGATTGGTTGGTCAAGGAGCAGATATGGTCAAAATAAAAGCTATGTTGAATAACCTGTGCCAAAACATTCAGAACATAACTTACTATCAGATTGATGCAGACAAAATTGATGAAATGTCCCAAAAACTTAAGAATGTTTTGCTACAAACCTTTAGAGGAACAATGAAAGTACACCAAATAAAAAAAGAAGATTATGAAAGTAGCATCAGATTAAACTTTTATGAACTTAGCACTTTCATAAACGGCAATAAAAAATACTTCATTGGTTCCCTTGAATTCAACAAAATTGGGCTTAATGATGAACTATCTTCTAGTGACACGTCTAGTGATAATGAGGACACTCCTTTAAGCAGATATATCAGCGGTTCCATAAAAGTTCAAAACAAGCTACAGTTTGAAGAAGTTTATTCTGACGAAGATGAAGAAGCTGTAAAGTGAAGTGAAGTGTAAAACGTTAACGTTTTTTCAACATGCATATTATGCCTAATATTGTATTATTTTGCCGTATCAAATTAAAAAATCATTCCTCTGCTTATCTCGTCATTCCTCTGCATATCATTTTTACAAAAACAAGTCAATTCTGGCTAGAAAATAATTGAACTGTTTGATCTTGAACGTTGCAAGGTTCATTTTGAACAAAAGTTCGTGTTTGTGTATTAAAAAACAAAATTTGGAACAAAAAAACTATTTTCAAAGTACCATGTGAAAAATGATAGTTTCTGGATAATCACCCTTTTTCATTTCTTCTCTCTAACTTTGTGTGATATTATTCAGACTTTTTTGTTGGTTTCATCCCAGCTCCTTACTTCTCCCTAATTTTGTAGACTACTTTCTTCTAAATTCTTTCTAATTTTTACGTTTTTATCATAACTCTCTTTTCTTCAGACATCCCTCGAGCTAATTGCTGCTTTTCTTGCTGATATCCTTCTGGTACCTTATGTAATAGGGTCTCTTAGCTACTCCGAAGTTCATAGTTTCTATCTCATTTCTTTTCCTTGTTATAGTTCTAAATAGACTTAAACTGAACCATTAAAGTTTATTAATAATAATACTTAAATTTTAATACTTTAATACTTAAATTAAAATAATTGCTTAAACAAAATTATTAAAATAGAAATTTGGCCAAGGACTTAAAATAAACTTCAGAAATGAAGTAGTAACTAACTTAAATAGAGTTATAATTGAATGTGGAATCTGTTATGAAGAGTTAATAAAGAGCGACGAGGTCGTGCTAAGAGGGTAACAAATATTTATCTAATAATCCTTGAAAACGTTTCCTTCACATACTTCGTCGTTATTATTATTAGTAATAACTTATTACGGAGCATAACAAAATAATGAAGATATTCTTTCTGATAAAAGGAATATATTTAGAACTTAAAAGGATTTATTTTTTTCAGTAGAAATTTCACATCGTTTTCCCTGGTTGTTAGTATTAATTGAAAACGTCCGTAATGACGTGAATTAGTGAAATTCGAATCGTTTCGAATGGCTTTTGGTAACGAGAGGAATGACACAAGCCTGTGTGGGTGTTTGGATTTGAAATTCTATTCAATTATTTAAACGGTAAATAAGGGAGCAACAATATATATTAAATCTGTTTATAGAGAGCTTTTTAAATTAAAATGTTGAATAAACTTACCTTAGTATCTTTGGCATAATATAGTTTGCGTCCACGTAACTTGAAATATCTTCTTCTCCAACGTTGAAAAGACCATGTTTGTTTCAATAAGAACCCTTCTTTAATTGAGGTCTAAAAAAATATATAGAAAATTAAATTAAAAAATTGAACTTTTTTATCAAAGGCTTTTAATTAAAATGAGTTTACACGATTAAACTCGTTAAAAATTTGAAATTCGTAAATTTTCTTTTGAAATACAAAAGATCACGATTTAATGAACCCTTCGTTCGTTTCGAAACAGAAACTTTATACACGAAATAAACTCGCTCTTAAATACCATCGACAGTTTCGTCTCCGTCCCATCTCTCTCTCTAGTTAATCCTCAACAGCACAGAACTTGGCAATTTATTTACGTTTTATGCCCCTGTAATTAAGATTTGTTAGGAGCCGTAGGGTATTTAATAAAATTACCATAGGAAGGGTGTAATAAAAGGTGAAAAAAGAATAAAAAAATTGTTTTTGACTCATACAAAATAAAAATGAATTTAATGTTTTGCTTAAAAAAGGAGATTTTAACGGTATTCGTCGAGGAATTAACAGATAAAGGTTTTTTTAGGGTGGAATAGCTTTTATCATTCAAAATCGTAACCGTCAAATAACCCAAGGGATTTGCTGACAGCGAAATTCGAAATCCGCTTGTAGAAGCAATCCCTCGATTGTGGGGGTGATTTCGAATAAAATGCTGACTTTTAAACGTAGAAATTTTTTGGTTCTTATTTAGGTAATTAGATTTTGTCGAAAAATGTTGCTATACTTGATCCAAGTTTAGAAGGAACGCGTTACCGATGGCAGGATAATTTAATTAGATGTTGAGTGTCTTCTGATATGCATGTATGGACGACCGAAAGGAAAAAGACCACAAAGACGACCGCCCAAGAGATGGGCACAGAGCTGATTCTGCTCGTCTGCGGAGTAAAGTTTAAACATGAAGCTCGAAACATGAAGTCGAAAGTAGACGATATTTTGTAAGCGAATAATTTTCACTTAAAAAAGTAGGTAACATTGCGACATCTGTAGGCGCATAGCCAAACTGAGGTTATCGGTAAAATAGATATCGTTTATTTTTTGATTTTTTAAATAAATAATCCCAAAAAGAATAACAATATAAAAATGATAATGAATTGTCCGTTAATATTAAAATTATTTTAATGTTTAAATATTAAATATTTAATAAAAATAAATGTTTTTATGACGGTATTAAATTGATAATTGATAACTAAAATTGTATTAAAGTGGTATTAAAGATTAAAATGAAACGTGTTAAACGTTTAATTGACGTTGGGATTAAGATAACTTTAGTTATTAATAAATTTCCAGGTGCACGAACGAGCAACATGTGGCGCGCACATTCGACAATAATGTGCAACAAGTAAAAATCAATAACTTGAAAATTTCCTGGGATATACAAGGTTGAAACTGTATAATTATTTCTTTTTGTTAAAAAAAAAAAAGCGATAAAAGATTTTTGGGGAAACGTTATTTTTTTACATAAAAATAGCGAAATTTGAAAGAATTAATAATAGATTATTGGTAAACAATAAAAATAAATAAGCTTATGCGCGTGCAGAACGAACACAGATCAAAGAAACCACTTAATTCGGTAGCCTTTATTATCTAAAATCTTAAAAAACAAACATACATTACAAATACATAGAGTAAATAGTAATAAAAAGTATTCAAATACAAAAAGAATAAAAATAATGATTATAAAACAAAAAAGTAGTCGTTAAATTAAAAAAAAAAACAAAAAAAAAACAAATGAATATGTATTATAAACGCAAAGATGCACCACGCCTACTTATCAAAAAGAAAAAAATTAAATAAATAAACAAAAAACCATAAAATAATAAATCCATGCTATCTTTTCCAGCAAAACTAGTCAAAAGAAAAATAAATAAATAAAAAAAATAAATAAATTTAGGCCTTTTTGCTGTTTTTTCCACACAATAGTATTCGTATTAGAAACAGAACATACCGAACATTTTATATCACGATTTGTCGATAGACGTCTATGGAATGAAACGGCCGGCTCAGTTTCTGCATCACTCTCCGAGGAATCCTCTCCGGCGGCCGGCGAAACACTTCCTTTAGCACTTTTACCTCCCGACGCCATACTATGCCAACATTATTCGCGTCTATAGTATAAATTCTTTATTTTATAAAATTTACCCAACAGACGACGTGTCTCGACCGGTTTCCCATAGATGGCGTCTCGACTTCCAACAAACCGGCCCTCTTGGATGAAACGACGGCGAGGTCACTGGCACTATACGCATTCTTTACGCGCTGTTGCCAAATACACGCCCACCCAACTCGTCTACACCACTGTTTACGACACGTGATCACAAAAAACAGCTGGATTTCTTGCTTTAATCACTTTAATATCAACATAACCTACTTTTACATATCTTTTTATTAAATTAAAAATTATTTAGAATTTTTACATGTAATTGATTAATAATGAATCAATTGTACTCTTTAAAAAGCATCAAAGTAATAATTTTAAATTATCTCTATCATATAGGCAACTCAATCTACAGCAATTTTAAAAACTTAAATTAAAATTAAATTTATATTAATAAATCGATTATTTCTTAAAAAACAATAATAAATAAAATGAACTAAATAAATAAAAGCAATTTTTAACTAAATTATAAAGAAACACCTAAAACACACGCGAATATGGCAACCAATTTTACTTCTATTTTAACCATCACATTTACAAATCCACATTTATTATTAATTAAACCCTAAATTAATCGATTAATTAATATAATATTTAACAATTAAAATTGATTGGATACATTCAATATTAAGTAAATAATTAAATTAATCCCACCGTTTTGATGTTTTAAACATTTGACAACCCCGCATAAGACGCAACCTAACCCTATTCTTAAGCATCTTTGTTGTTTTTCCAAAATAAATCTATATAATAAATATGCTAATCCGTTTTTATTTATTATAATATCACAATGAGTTTTACAAGTGACGAAGTAAATTTTCTCGTTTACCGGTACCTCCAAGAATCGGGTAAGTAACGTAACCTCAAAATTTTAAGCGTCAAACTAACTTTAAATGATGTCGTTTAGGCTTTCAACACTCTGCGTATACTTTTGGTATTGAATCCCATATTTCTCAATCGAACATAAATGGGGCTTTGGTTCCGCCGGCGGCGTTACTGAATATTATACAGAAAGGGCTTCAGTACACAGAAGCTGAAATAAGTATAGGGGAAGATGGAACGGAGCATCGTGTTGTAGAAAGTTTGAGTCTTATTGATGCTGTTATGCCTGACGTTGTAGCTAGTAGACAAAATCAACAGAATCAACAAAAACAAGCCAGTCAAACGGATGGCGCTGACACAAATGGCGAAGAAGTTGTTTCCACGCAGAGTGAAAATATGGAAGTTGATACTTCAATTGAAATCCCACCATCGAAAGCAACCGTTTTAAGAGGACATGAATCGGAAGTGTTTATTTGCGCTTGGAATCCAACAACGGATTTATTAGCAAGCGGATCAGGAGATAGCACGGCGAGGATATGGGATATGTCGGATAACACGGCAAGCCCTAACCAGTTAGTTTTAAGACATTGTATTCAAAAAGGTGGCGCTGAAGTACCTAGTAATAAAGATGTAACTTCGTTGGATTGGAATGTAACTTTTAAGATTATTAATTCTTTTCTGTATATTTATTTTTATTTTGTTTTAGTGTGATGGAAGTTTATTGGCGACGGGAAGTTACGATGGTTATGCTCGAATATGGACTACTGATGGAAGACTTGCGAGTACATTAGGGCAACATAAAGGACCAATTTTTGCGTTGAAATGGAATAAAAGGGGGAATTACATATTATCAGCCGGAGTAAGATTTAATAAATAAGTTAGTAATTATTTTATTCATATCTTTTTTGTAGGTTGATAAGACAACCATAATATGGGATGCAGCAAGTGGACAATGTACTCAACAATTCAGCTATCATTCAGCCCCCGCTTTAGATGTTGATTGGCAAACAAATAATTCCTTTGCAAGTTGTTCCACGGATCAATGTATACATGTTTGCAAATTAAGTATGGATAAACCGATTAAATCATTCCAAGGACATACAGTAAGATATAAATAATAATAAAGTTAATTAACCTCAAAAAAAATTTTTTTAGAATGAAGTTAATGCAATTAAATGGGATCCTCAAGGAATATTATTAGCTAGTTGTTCTGATGATATGACATTAAAAATTTGGTCAATGAAACAAGATACTTGCGTCCACGATCTACAAGCTCATTCGAAAGAGATTTATACAATAAAATGGAGCCCAACTGGGCCTGGAACACAAAATCCCAATATGAATTTGATATTAGCATCGGCCAGTTTTGATTCAACAGTTCGATTATGGGATGTAGAACGAGGGGCTTGTATACATACCTTAACAAAACACACTGAACCTGTGTATTCGGTAGCTTTTAGTCCTGATGGAAAATATTTAGCAAGTGGTAGCTTCGATAAATGCGTTCATATTTGGTCGACGCAATCGGGGCAATTAGTACATAGTTATAAAGGGACAGGAGGAATTTTTGAGGTGTGTTGGAACTCTCGCGGGGATAAAGTAGGAGCAAGTGCTTCTGATGGAAGTGTTTTTGTATTAGATTTACGTAAATTGTAGTTTTTTTTATTCATTTGTGGAGAATTTTTTTTTTTAAGTACTAATCTTTATTTTAATTCTTAAAATATATATTTAGAATAAAAATTTTAATTCAATCTCCTTTTATAAGCGTACAAACTATCATGTTCATAATAAGTATGAATTAAATAATACATGTGTTTGAAAAAGAATAACAAATTATCATATTGACCGTTATAAGCATCCTCATTATTTACTATTAATTCTTCAAAATGAATTATACTTTTTTCATTAAAACATTTAGCAAGTCCTTTATAATCGGGATGTACACCCCATGCATTTAGATGAATCTCTAAAACAAATTGATGGATTGCTTCTATCGTGGCTAGGTACCACCTGGGGCTACCTTTTTGATGCCTCCAAAACTGGGAAATTCGATTTTGTAAGACTACGCAAGGTAATTTTCTTATCCGTTCATCTTTGTATATTCCTTTACTTTGATTCCATGTACTATCAATAAATACAGCCCTTTTAATTGGAAGGCTATTGGCCCCTTTGTAATTGCAATAATTCTTTGTGGTGGAGACTTGTTTTAAAAGTGTTCCAGCATTATAACCCTTTGGAAGATCTATTTTTATTTCTGATTTAATATCCGATATGTTTCCATTATGTGAAAATAATTGACTTATTTCTAAAGCTTTACAAGTCGGGTATATTAATACAGTTTGATCTTCTTCATATTCAGGTATGTCGGGGTAAGTATACACTCGTACATCATCAGGGGCTATTAACACTGCATGAGCTGAGGTGCTTTTGCCATCAATTTCTTGTTTATGCTTGATTATATCAATTTTTACAGGTAACTAAAAACTTTATTATTAATAATAAGTGTTAAGTAAATTATTTCTATTAATTACCGTAACTTTTGGTAAAACGTTCTTTAATTCTGGTATGGGAACATAGCAGGAATAACAGTAAAATTTACGTGATTTCCCACACTTTGGGCACGCATACCTTCCTTCTAAAGCATATAAAATATTATCGTTTTGAATTATTAAACCATCAAAAGGATTTTTATCGAGACTTAAAATGTTTTCTTCCGAATTTGGATGAGACATTGAAAATTATATTTTTGAGGTTAAGAAAGTTAGGTTAAAATGTGTTAGTGATTAATAAATAAGTGGTAAGCAAACATAATAAAATAAAAAGTCACTAGGTATAAATTAATTACATTTTAATTTTTGAATTCGTTAATTTTTTGAATATTAAATTCAAATCAATTAATCTTATATAATTATAACTTATGTACAATTATATATTTCATAAACATAACTATTTTAAGTCTTTTTAAGTTTTAGGACTTTTTTACAGTTGCTTTATTTTTTGACAGATTGTCAAATTAAATTTGGCATTTCTTAACGAAATAGTTTTATTATAAAATAGATAGATAAACCGCCTGGAGCATAGCGCACGATAGCGGTGTACAGAGGCGGATACGGCGATGTTGGCACGGGTTTTAAGACATGTTTAACCATCAGCAGCCAGCCATAGACAAGAACTAAGAACGTAGTTAGTAGAGCGTGCAAATGGAAAGAGAAAGCACTTATTATTTTGTGTGCATTGCAAAAAAATAAGACCTCTACGTGCTACGAGGAGGTTAGTATTTTGTCAGATTATTATTTATAACCATAACTTTGCATTAACATTAACAATCCAAGTCTTAAATTTTTTGAATTTCATAAAAATTTATCTTGAAATGAAAGCTGTAAAGTTGTAATATTTAATCGTAGACGTCAACAGATGTCGTTACCGGAGTACCTTAGAAGCAATGGTGTGTGGTAAAACGCAAAACCTGACCGGAATCTCTGTATCCGGAAGTGGGTCAACCGGACATAAACGCGCAGCCAATGACAGTGAAACAATCCGAAATAGATACAGTGTACACCGTGATACATTTCTAGTTGTGTGGACATTTTCTTCGTCTCGTATACTGTTAATACGCATGAATGCTACAACATTTTTTTTATTTGTAAATAGGTATAAAATTTATTGAGTATACGAAGGGATGTGACGTCATCGAGATGTTAATAGCATCGTAATTCTTGAGACGAGGATGTTACGAGGAGTACTCAACCCAAATTTGAATCGGCCAAATAAAAAGAAGAAAAAGATTGCCGCCGCCGCTTCTGAAGAACAAGAGCCGAAGAAAAGGAAGGGGCAGAAGTAGGTCTCTACGCGGACGTGGTTTTTGGATGGTCCAAAAAAATTACATCTACTGATATTTAATACCTAAAGATAATTCTCAAGCTTCGCTTATTTTTTAAGCTTGAATGATTTATCATTAAATTTTATTGGCAAAAAATATTAATATTTTAAGTTAAATAATTTTTCATCTACTGTAACAGGTTCCCCAAAAAATGATATTAAGTGAGGAGAAATGAACTGGAGGAGGACGTGATAAAGAAAGAAGAGGGGGCGAAGGACCCCGACCGTAGTCGTCGTCGGCGTCTTCGTCGTGAACGCAAAAAAAAACAGCCGAAAAAAATACGCCGAAGTAACGGCACTTTTGTTGCGGTGTTTCACAAGGTTGCGCCGGCTCTTTGTTAGACCTTACCAAGGATGGTCGTCGAATGAGGTTAAGTTCACCGTTACCGAAAGCAAAACGCATCCGTGTCTTTTTTTTCTGTTTTTATTTTTATTTTCACCTATTTTCGGAACGGCAAGTTCCGTTTTCACTTAAAATTCCAATTTGAAGACGTCAACAAAATTATAAAAAAAAAAAGACTAGCCTCACTTTTTAATAACATTATGGACTTTTTTGTTGGCAACGTGTTTTCCATTTAACTTTCTAAAGAGATGAAAATTCAGATTGATTACAATTAAGACTTCTTAATTTAACTGTATAGGTATATTTTTTTTGTTTCTTGTTTTCGGCTAAAAACTACAAAGAACAAACTTTCTCCTTTTCGGAAACTGTGAAGAATTCTAAACAAAGTTATAAATCAGGTTTTTTGCTACTTCGAGGGCATAAATTTAAATAAATTTGCGTTTTGTTCAAATTTCGACACAGTTTGACGACTCGGTGATTTATTACCCATACCCTTCCCGGTACCCAAAGGATTGTTGAAAATTTTAAGTCTACAATGTCCAGTAGACATTTTTTGTTGCTTTTCAAAAAAAGAAAAACAACTAGATTGGATTCGTTCCGCAGTTTTAGTTCGCTATTTTGAATTGTACATGAGTACTGCGTCCATTGTGCTGTCAATGATTTGCCGTTCTGTGACTAGGAAATGAGCAGAACGGCACCATTTTTGTATGTATCGCCAGCGGTCGCATACACGACAGTGACCCAAATATTACACTCACCACACACACAGCCAGCCAACGGACCAGTCTGGGCAACCAGTTTTTTTTTTCTTTTTTTTGCGCTGTCTCCTTTTCAATATAAACGACACGACGCAACAACGACAGCAGATCAAAGAACTTTGATGGTGATCTTAAAAAATAATTCCAAATTTATTTGGTAGGTATTTCAATTTATGGTTTTGTCTCATTTTATGTATAATTAATAATTTGTGAATGCAAATTTTTTAAATATATCTGCATGTTGTTGCGCAAGTTTTAACACGATAATATATCTGGATAACTTTGTGGTAGAGTAATTAACTAGATGACATTTTAATAGAAAACAACGTTCGAAATTTAGCAAATAATTTGGGACCTAAGCCGATCAGCATCACTTTTACTAGCACTAAGCCAACCATTTTAGACGCCGAACTTAATAAGCGTTCCATTAGGATGGTTATCAACATGTATCTGCCATTTCTTTATTGGCATTTTCTTTTATTTGCAAACAACTAAAAAAAGTACTAGAAAACTGATGATGTAGTAATGTACCTAAATTAATGAGGCTGTTATATTTTTATTATAGAAAACATGATGAAAAGCTCAATAATGTAGTAATGAAGGTACAAGATCAAAAAAATTTATATAAATAGGATGTGATAATTTATTTTGTTGTCACCAAAGTGACAACAGCCTACAAACAAATCTGTGGTGAATACAGAAGAGAATTTGAGAAGGTCGGCCAGAATAAAGTTTTGCAAAACAGAAATTGACGTCGTTGTCAGGGGAATACCTAACCCAAGGTGAGTTAGAACAAAGTAATGAACATTAATCAGATAGTATTATCTCTATATATATATATATATATATATACTTTAGTATATATACATATAGAGATAGTATATACAGGATGTCCCACCTAAGTTGCCTCGGTCCATAGCCGAATTATGATTGAGTTTTTCAAAAAATGTTTCAAATAAAAGTTGAATCGAATCATATTGTACATATTTTCAAATTAGTTTCAGTAATGGCGGACTTCCGCTTCTACCGGAAACGGATATAAACTTTGTTATTTTAAATGGAACATCCTGTATATTATTGCATTTTTGGATTCCTCGTGAAATTTTAATGGTATTTTGTTAAGGATAGCTTAAGTCTAACTGGTATCGTTTCTGAATTATATGACGATTTTCGAAAAAAATGACATTTGCAGCGTCTTATAAATTTGGCAATATTGCCGAAACTGTGAAAGCTAGAAAGATTTGGTTTTCTGTTTTATATTAACAATAAAAGAGCACACGTTTGCTAATAGAAAATTATGCATTTATATTACGGAGTTCTTATGTAGGGATCTGTAATTTTCGAACTTTTTAATCATGGATAACTTAATTTTTTTAAATGGAGCAATATACCAGTTTTTGCATAACCGGATGTAAAATTTAATTTCCTTTCAGTTTTATACAGGTATCATGGTGTCTATCTTCAACGGTTTTGGAGATATTCCCGATTTTTCAGTTTTTAACGATTATTTCGCAGCGCCGGCCACCTTCCCCTCGCATTTTACCAGGCTTGGGACTGGCAGAAATATTACTGGCATGCTTAAAAAGTGGCCAACAAAACACAACAAGACTACTGGAAACAAAACACAAATAAAGAAACACTATGGCATCAAATGTTCAAAATGTTGTCCGTTTTGTTCACTACATAATAGAAATCGTTTTTGTAAGGAGTTTTGAACAGTTCTGAGCATTTCTGGTGTGATTTCTTGAAAAGCTCTTACAATACGTTGACGCATATCGTCAGGAGTGATGTCTCATAAACCTTGCTTTTAATGAAACCCCATAAAAAGAAATCGCAAGTGGTAAGATCTGGCGATCTCGGAGGCCATCTAACAGGTCCTCCTCGTCCTATCCAGCGGTCTGGAAAGGACACATCCAAATACCGACGTACTTGGGCGGTATTGTGCGGTGGAGCACCATCGTGTTGGAACCACATCCACTGACGAATAGCTAGTGGAATATTTTCCAACAGAACGCCCAAACTATTTTCTAAAAATTCTAAATAAATCCTACCCGTCAAACGTTGATTATGAAAGAAAGGGCCTATGATATGCGTTCCAATGACACCTGCCCAACGTTCACTGACCATCTGTACTGGCTATGCGTTGCAAGGAATCGATGGGGGTTTGTTGTATTATAATAATGACAATTGTGACGATTCACAAACCCATTTTTGTGAAAGGTAGCTTCATCCGAAAACATCACCTGTCCGAAAAAATTCGCATCAAGATTAGTTCTTTCAATTGCCCACTGACAGAATAACAGCCTGCTTTCGAAATCGCCTTCAGTAATTTCCTGGTGCAACTGGATTCGATACGGATGATAATTATGTTTTCTTAAAATCCTGTGTACCGAAGATTTACTGATGTTTGTCCTCCTACTTATTTCACGCACACTAGATTCTGCATTTTCTTGCACAGCTAACAATACGTGCAACTGGTTTTCATCCGTAAGTACGGAGTTATTACGGTTGCGCTTAGTACGTTTTACGGATCCAGTATTTGTAAATCTTTCCAGTTTCTTTCCAGATATTGTTGTGCGTAAAGTCTTGACGCTAACAAAGCGTTCTTGTTACATTCGCCGAGAACGAAAACCATATCGACTAATTCTTTCCGCGTATGTGACATTTTTAATTATTATGTTAACAAATAATACTTTGAAAACCAGTTCTAATGCGTAGAACACTAATGACAGTTCTAATGCGTGGAACAGTAATGACAGTTTACCTAGTTTGTTTTCCAAGCCTACTTCAATTTTTAATAGTATTGCAAAGCGTCC